GGTAGTACTTTTTCCAATGTGAGTTGCAGTAATTAGTGGCTGTCAGCCTGTCTCACTGGGGCTATATGCTTAAGGAAGTGAAACACTGCCTGCTCCAGCACCATCACCACAATGGGCTGCAGGCTGAGCATTTGTGACCCCATGGCATTTTCATTGGCTGATTTGGGGAAGTAGATAATTGGATCTTTTTTCCTAGTCTCTTAGTTGGGGCCATGCTGGGACCTCTTCAACATCACAGCAACACAAGACTCCACTGGTAGTTGGGTGGTAGCTTCACATGAGAAACACTGGCTTCACGTAAGGTACACTGGCTGGGAATAGGCCCACATCTCCTACAGAAAGAGTGAGAGTTATACAGCTGAAATGCCATTATACCCCACAACTCATCAAATGTCTTAAATTAACCTTGTGAATGCCAGCCAACACAGATGTTTAACAAATTAAATTGATTGGAAAGAACAGAATAAAAAATATAGTACTACACATACATTTTTAAAAATTCTGATCTATTTACAAAGTTTGAATACATTGTTTTTCACAAAAGATCCTTCCAATTTCCTTCACTCTGCCCACACCCATCTAATCGTGCAACCCTATGATTAACACCCTCCCCTCAACCCTCACCCCTCCTATCACTGGCAATAAGAGAGATGCAAATCAACCCCACAATGAGATACCATCTCACTCCAGTAGCAGTGGCAAAGTTTAACAGGCCAGCAAGCAATAAATGTTGGAGAGCTTGTGGTGAGATAGGAATTCTTTTACATTGTTGGTGTGATTGTACAATGGTACAACCACTCTGAAAGGCAGTTTGGTGTTTCCTCAAAAATTCGAACATAGAAATTCCAAATAACCCAGCTATTCCAATGCTTGGAATATGCCCCAAGAAAATGAGAACTGAAACACAAATGGAAACTTGTACACCAATGTTCATAGCAGCATTATGCACCACCACAAGATCATGGAGACAGCCAAGATGTCCAACCACAAATGAATGGATTGAGCAGTTGTGGTATATTCATACAATGGAATACTACACAGCATGTAGGAGCAGTGATTTTATAAATTACCTAACCTGGGAGGGACAGGAGAGCATATGTTGAGTGAACTGAGTCCTACAGAATAAATACCTTATAAATTCATAATTGTAGAATGAGTATAAGGATCCAGGGCAGAGGGGAGGGTGAAAATACACAAACATTTCTATGTGTTATTTTATGAAAAGTTTAATAAAAATACATATTAAATGTATTTTATAGTGCATAACCATGCAAAATGAACTTTTTATTTTGAATTGAAGTAAAAAAGGTTGGCAGTCCCTCTTTAAAAAGACAAGGTTGGGAAGGAAAAGCTCAACAATTGTTGAGAGTAAAGGCTTTGGAGTGAGACTCATCCAAGTTTTGATCTCTGTCTGCCACTGATGTCCTCAATAATTCTGGGCAGGTTGCTTAACTCTTGAAACTTATTTCATCTGTGAAATGAATATACTGTATAGTACGATACTTGACTTGCAGGTCAAAATCAAACCAGAAATACTCAAACTCATTGCCATTGAGTTGGAACCAACTCATAGTTGACCCTCCAGCAGGTGCTCAGGGGCTGTAAAGCACACAGGTAAAGATTGCCCATCTTTCTTCAGCAGAGCAGCTGGTGGATTAGAACCTTCTGTCTTTGGGGTGACAGTGCAACTCTTTAGCCACTTGTTATTGTTAGGACCACCAAGTTGAGTACAACTCATAGCAAGCCTATGAATAATAGATTTGAACCCTATTCTATACTGTGCTATCCTCTTACTTCCTGACACACTAGAGTCCACTGCAGCAGTCACCGTGTCAAACCATCTGGTTGAGTGTCTCTTTCTCCTTTGCCAACCTTCCATCCTTCCCAGCATCATGCCCCTCTCCAAAAGCACCAATATGTCCCAAAGTATGTGAGGCAAAGCCTCATCATTCTTGCCTCCAAAGAGCACTCAGGCTGCACCATCTCCAAGAAATACCTGTTCATTCTCTTGGCTGTCCATGGGATGTTCAGTGCTCTTCTTCAACACCACAGCTCAAAAGTGTCAATTCTTTTTCTGTCACCCTTATTCCCTGTCCAGCTTTCAGATGCATAGCAAGTAATTAGAAAGAGTATGGCCTCAATCAGATGCACCTTAGTCCTCAAACTGACATCATTATTCCTCAGTAATTTGGAAAGGTCCTTAACTCTCTGTGCGTAAAGTGAAAACTCTATGAACACTTTACCCACTAGGCCACCAGCACCCTATGCAGCTAGCACTTCATCCATGACACTTCAGAGCTTTTATAAAAGCCTCAAGGAAGGCACATACAATCCAAGGGATGTATGAGGTTATCAGCATTGACCTAGTTGCTCCTTCCTCAGCACAAGATCCATTACAAAAGATTCTCTTACTTCCCCCCAAAACCATGGAGTTCAACTCTTTAGTATGCATACTGACAATCTGAAACTATAGAGACAGCAAGAGCCAAAACTCTCTTCATGCTGGGCTAAAACCTTATTTGTCAAATAGGACTCAGATCTCAGGAGGTCTAGTTATATAAAAGTTACTTGCTAGCAACAAGTGGCTGTCCATTCCAGAGACAAAGGTCACATGGAAGCCCCAAGACTGCTACCTTTGCTCATGAAGACACCCCAGGAGGGAAAAACAGTTCTTTGATGCTTCCATAAATACCAGGACTTCATAGGTGTTCACCTCTCACCCAACTCTGCCTATCTTCACAGAGTACTCAAGTCAGCACCAATCACAATGATATTGCCAAGGTATTGGCTGGCCCCCATCCTTATCTACCTTCAGATGAAAAATAGTAGGAAAGAGATGAAGCCTGAAAGAATGAGTCAGCACAGGGGAGAACAGACATGTCCAGGGAGTCACAGCACAGACCAGAAATGGAGAGAAGAGCAACAGGAAGAATGATGCAGTGTCTGGAAAGAAATAATGAAAACAAAGGGAGAAATAAAAGTGAAATCATTGAAACAAAGGCAGAGAATAAACAAAAAGGAAAACGAAGCTAATTGTTAAAAACAAAGAGGAAAAAATAAGAGTAGAGCAAAAATGTGGTGGAAATCAAGAGGAGAAATTATGGAGATACACACAGAGTCATCAAATTGATTTCCAAGTATAGTGATTTCATAGACAGAAGAGAAGTGCCCTGCAAGGTTTCCAAGGCTGAAAATCTATATGGAGACAGACTGATTGATCTTTTCCCCACTTGGTATGGCTGGTGGAATTGAAACACTAACCTTGAGGTTATTGGCCAACCATTATAACCACTGCATGACCAGTGTTCCCTAATTACATAGTGGTCTCTGGATGGGGATGTTCAGAGTGGCTTTTCTCAGTGTCTAGAAGGAGCAGTGCCCAGGCAATGAGAGGCACTGTGGGTTTCCTCACTCCCTGTGTCCTTCTTGGTCCTCAGGCCTGACTTCCATCAGGGAAACCTCCTGGGATGCACACTCAGGAGTCTTCAGAGGTTGGCAGACTGTAACTGACCCAGGGCCTACCTACCACCTCCTGCCCTCTGCTACGTCAGGTGTTCCCAGACCTCTCTCTCTGCATCAAAGACATGGTTTCAGCAGCTGAGCAGTCCCTATCCAATCCAGGGGCCCATCTTGTCATTTGAGTGTCCCCTATCCCTATCTCTATATCCTTCTCCCTGCATTAAACACAATTAAGGGCTTAGATATTTCTCTGCAGTTGACTACACATTTGTACTTTGAGAGAACTCAGGAAACAAAGAGCAGAGGCCCAGACCTATCACCTGGCTGGGCATCATGCGAAGATTTGGACTTATTTGCACAGGGCACTCCACCCTGCTTCTCCTCCTGCTGCCCTCAGAGATGAGATTTGGCCTGGGCGCTCCCTCTCTGACCACGCCTGTCTCCCCAGGCTTCTCAACCACCAGGAAGCAGCACAGCAAGGAGCTGGAGATGACATAGCAGGCCTCTGTGAGAAGTCAGGCCCAGACCCAGGGGTACCTGACAGACTGCAGTCTAGCAAATCCTCCTGCCTTTCACCCCACAGGGAGAAGTATTCAGCACAAATCCATGTATGATCTTCTTTCCGCTAAAATGGGCTTGTCACCATTTCTCAACATTTATTCTAAACGGGGGGGAAAACAAGGCAGGGCTGGCTCTAGAGGGAGAAAGAGGAGAGAAGGTGAGGAATTGCCACAGTGAAGAACCCCTAACAGCCAGAGTGGAGGGCAAGGCCTAACAGGCAGAGTCTGTGCTCACCCAGTATTTGGGGACCTGGCAGAAAGCAGACTGAAAATGGGAGGGACGGCTGCACGTGGCCAGGTGGGGCCAGAAGGAGACCAAAAAGAGGAGCAAAGGCCTCCACTGGGCCTCGGCCTACAACCTAGGCCCAGAATCACTCCTGGCCATGCTCCACCCCCTGGCTGCCATGTTCTTTCCCCAAAACCTGGGGGTTTCCCTCAAAATGGAGAGTGGGGATGAAGTAAGAAATCTGGCCAACCAGGCTGACTCAGGTGGTCATGGAGGACAATCTAAGACACTCGGGGCTCTGGGAGTTGTCTCTGAGGCAGAAATATAGAGCATCTTTGGGTACACCTGCTCTGTCTGTGGGCAGGTGGGCAAAATGCTTGAAATACAACAAAAGCAAGGGTCAGGACCCAAAGGGGTCACACTCTCTGTTTCTCTGGACTCTCTGTGGGGTGCCTGTGTGCAGGATTTCTGCAAAAGATAGTCCATTTTGTTAAGCCTTTGAATATTCAAATTGAAAGTATCGCGCAATCATTGATTGTCAAATCATGGGTTTCTGGAGGTTTTAAATACTTGGCATGAGGGGGAAAAAACTCAAACCTATACCCGAAGGTATAAAACATTAATTCTGTTTGTCTCCTGCTCCAGGGGCCCGTGTGCAGCCGGATGCTTTGGAAAACTTTAAAAATGTTGCATCTCTTGCTTCTCTCCCTGCACAGGAGCCCTCCTAGGCGCTGAAGCCCTGTAGCTGCAGCATCCAGCCACCGACCCAGCTTCAGCTGACCACGATGTCGGGTAACTGGACTGCTTCTCCGGGGGTAGGGTCCTGGGCCAGGGGCGTTTTGATCCCGGTGAATGTGCACAGCTTCTCCTGCATAGAACAGAGAGGCACAAAGTCAGGCCTTACAAGTCTGGACCCGGGATCCCGAGAGGGCTGCGCAAGGACTGGTCCCTCTAGGCGCCTTCTCCCAGGACAGAGGCCCAAAGGCCGGGCTGGCCGCCGCTCCGGACGTTGCTGTCCGCGTACCCCCATCTCCCGCCCGCCCTCCCACTTTCCCCATTTGTGTCTCTGGGACTTCCCGGACCGACTCTGTGCTCGGAAGCGGCGGCGGGGGGAGCTAGAGGTTCACGCTGAGCATGGGGCGCAGTGAGGACGCGCGTGCCTCTCAGCGCTAAGCTGGGGTGGCCCTTACGTGGACCCCGAGAAACCCCACCGCTTGCGGAGCCCCGAAAGGGACGAGGGCGTTGTGGGGAAACTAGGTTGCCAAGAAGGCCCCGCGCTGAGGCCCTGCGGGCCAGCACAGGATTCCCTGGGTCTGGGGAAGGTGTAACGCAGACTCGCTTCCTGGGGAGACCCTCCAGCTTCCGGGAGCAGGACCGGGGGGCTCTCAGCTGTCCAGCTGCGGTCCCCACTGTGACCAGGCGAGGCGCTGGCGGACTGGACACTGTCGTGTGGGACCCAGGCAGAAACATGGGGCCGCTGGAGCTGAGGGGCTGGCTCCTCCCCGCGCTGTCCGCTGAGCGCGCCACTGTAGGGCTGCAGTCCCGGCTGCGGACCTATTGGGGACCTGCGGGCACCCCAGAAAACTTTCGCGGCCAGATGTGGCCTAGTAGCTGGGTCAGACCTACTCACTGCGGCTCAGGGGTGCCCAGGGGCCGCGGCGTGCCCGCTCCAAGCACTGGGCTGCCGACCCTCCGGCGCGCGCTCGGCGGCTCCCGGGCCCCGCAGTCCCAGCCGCCCGGCCCCACTGCCCCGTCTGCGGCCCCTCCCGGAGGGCGGGCTCCGGCGGAGCGCGCGATCCCCGAGCCTCGAGCCGCGCTCCCGGGAGTTCGCGAGCGGCGGACCAGCCCCTGAGCCTCCTCCGAGCGCTGGGGCGGCGCGCGGCCGGCAGGGAGGGGTGGGGATAGACGAGCCCGAGGGGAGAGCGGGGGACGGAGGAGGAGGAACAGTTGGAGCCCAGGCGACGAAGGGCGAGGGAGCCCGCAGAGTGAAAACATGCTTGTGAGGGAGGTCCCGGAGCTTGAAATCTGTGCTAGGGTCATTCTGGCAAGTTCCTTACGGGACGATCAATGGCCTGGCTGGGGCTCGCCAAACATTCCCTGTCTGCTGATGTCCCCAGGCTTGGCTTCCAAACCAAGGGCATACAGAGGGTCAGAGCCTCCAGAGAGGCCACACCTGGCCGGGCCGGGCAAAAGAGTCCCAGAGGTGTGGGCTAGCTTCCATAGATCGGGAGAGCTCCCTCACTGCAGCCGTGGGCCCCTCCCCACGGCGATGACTGGGCCTATAACCCCAAGATCCCCTCGCTTGGTTAGCTAAAGTGGTGAGCACCCCCTGGGTTTGTCGCCACATTTCTGAGCAGAAAACCTGTGTGTGTGCTGTTGGTCTAGGAACCGAGTCACTAGAAGTAGAAGGTCCAAAGATTTCCGTGGTTTGTTTCCATCCGGGCTCTTAGACCTGCCCACCGTCTCCTTATCTTTTCAAGTTTGAGAGCTTTGGCTTCTTTCCAGTTCCCTTTGCATTCTACAAGCCCAGAATCCTGGCCACAGGTGCCATATATTATGTAAAGAGAACCCCATTTCCTAGTCTGACAATCCCCCAAACCTTGGACTTTACCACTCACTCAATTGCCTTTCCCCAGAAAAACCAAAGGTGTATCAAGGTGTCCGTGTGAAGATCACAGTGAAGGAGTTGCTGCAGCAGCGAAGGGCACACCAGGCTGCCTCAGGGGGAACTGTAAGCATAAACCTTCACTTACTCCCTAGTCAGTCAGGCCTCCCTTAACCCTGTGTCTGGAAAGGGGTAGAGACTACTCAGACCCCACTAAGCATCTCTAGACCTGACCCTCCTCAGGTGGTCTGTCCCAAGCCTAGCTTCATCTCAGTTTACCACCAGCAGCCACATAAAACAGTTGAGAGTATAGACTTCAAAGATGTCTCTTCCTCGCTCCTTAGATTTAAATATAAAGAGCTCCCTGCAGGGCAAGGAACAGCCAGGAGGTTAAGTGTATTGTTATTTTATCCTGGAAAAAAAAACTGTGCATATGCTGTCACATACCTACAAGAAAAACATTCCCAGGCATTCATTTCATTTCAGGCAGTCTATCAAGGATAGCACTTTTCATTCTTCAGGAGCTCAGCAACTGAGGCCCTTTACCTGTAAATCACCCATCATTTAAAGTTCTGAGCAGAGAGACATCACATCAATGCTGCTTGGGATACAGACCACTTCCTGAAGATGGAAGAAGGCCTTCCTAGGTTAGCACAAGATTGATCTGTCCCATCTTCAGGGAATCTTAATATTTTTTTATTCTCTTAAAGCAGATAAGTATTGTCGAGGGCATAATAGCAGCTTCAGAAACAAGTAAGCCAGATGAGCTGCCCCCTAGACAGCCGAATGTTCTTGACCAAACAGTTCCTTTTGAGTTAGTTTGGATGTCCTAGAGCTGGAGCCTGAATTGCCTGTGTTAGGATTGGTCATGTCCACAGCCTGCTGGCATCTCTCCCACAATGTGCTTTGTGCCTTCTACTGCTTGTATGTGATGTACAACTTCCATTTCTGCATGATATGGGGCCTTGTGGGAGGAGGTCCATGATCTATGAATCCAAGTTCTAGCTCTAGACAGGTTGGGTTCAGATCTCAGTCTCTCCATTCTGTGTGTCCTCGTGCAAAACACACGACCTGTCTATCTTGGCTCTTCATCTTGAAATTAGGAATAAAGAATAGGACTGTGTGAAGATTGGGTGAGTTCTTGAGAATTAATCACTTAGAAGGGTGCTTTCCACATTGCAAGTGCTAGAAAAAAAAAAGTAAGCTGTTGAAATTGCTTGTGCAAAGCAGCTAAGACAAAATTCCAGCTGAATATTAAAAGCCACCTATTCAGGCAATGTTCATTAGCACCCTTTGCTCAGATTAGAGTGTGGAGGTAAGAGCTTTCTGAGGGGTGTAGCCCCTAAGACATTGCTTTTGCCTTTACTAAAGAGATGAGGAGCATCTCTATACACAGAATTTAACCCAGTAAAACTTCCTTACCTTTGCAGAAGGCTTTGCAGGGGTTCTTCCTTTAAAGCACATATACTTTTGCCCATCTATGATTTCATTTCTTTCTTATACAGCCAGGTGGGGTAAGTTGATAAGGGATCTGTGTATTTCTCTTACAGCTAAAGATTAAAAAGTCTTGATGTGACTAAAAGGCAGAGCTAAAAGTAAAACCAAGATCTTCTTATTCTCAAGAAAACTATTTCCACCTGTTGGCTTTGCAAATAATTTCTCTTTCTTCAGTCCCTCAACTCAGAGGTGGTAATAAAAATTGATAAAACCAGGCACATGCTTCTGGTTAAGCTATTGGTGCCAAAATGCAATCTCTCATTAAGGAGTTCAGACGAACATGGGAGAATAGAGCTCCAGGAGCACCTGTATAGGCCCTTTGGCCATGCCCGTTTGATTTCTGTCATCTCTGACCACAGTCCCCCCAGGAGCCAGCTGCAGGAGCTAAAGGGAGGTAGGGGACTTCTCCAGTGGACTGTCTGGCAAGTTTCTGTGAGCTCTCAGGCTATTTGACTTAATTCTGTTTTTCCACATTTCCACTGGAGAAATAATAAAGCTAGGCTGTCTGAAACAGCGTTTTTGCAGGTTCAGGCAGAACAGAGGCCAGCTGCACTTGGCTTCTGGGAGTTTACACTGGGCATGTTGTGCAGACATATGGAAGACACACGTATTATTTAAATCCAAGAGCCAGATGTGTAGTCCTTTACAAAGGAGCTGGAGCTCTAGAAAAGCTGTGAGAGGGTATTCCGTCAGCAAAGATAGAAGATGTTGGTGTTAGTTGCCATTAAGTTGACTCCAATTCATAGGAGACTGTGAGTGCAGAGTATATAAATGGTTCCTTAGGATTTTTAAAGTGACCTTTCAGAAGTAGGTTACCAGACCTGTCTTCCAAGGCACCTCTGGGTGAATTCAAATTGCCCTCCTTTGGACTAGTTTTCCCATCATTTAATTGCACCACCTAGGAGAAATCAAACCAAAAAAGGGCAGCAGGTATTAGGGAATCATTCATGCCTTCTCCTTGGTATCCACTTTCTGATTTACCAGAGATGTTCTCACTTTGTTCACTTGTTGTAGAGACACCTTGCCAGATGTTAAGAAGGCAATTAATTGGATCAGACAGTATTATGCAGGAAGAGGTTTATCTTAATGTGTTGTAAAGTCAGAGCAGTATCCATAATTTTACATTTTAAGAAGGCAACTATGAATGGGAGGTATAGATTGAGATCAGATGTTCAGCAGTGCCAGGAGAAGAAAGTGTGTGCCAAGCTTGTACGTTTGATTACAGAAATGTATTTGAGCCAGATCAGTTTGCAGACTCGGCTTGCATGCCAGGCACACACACACTTTTTGCCCTCAGGTAAAGGGAAACTCGAATAAGTACTTATCAAAAGATAAAATTTACCTTTATGTTTCTGGGTGTTTTTGTTTTAAACTTAGAAAAACAAAAAAACAAAACAAAAGACCAGCCTTGATGTGTTCTTATAAATCGTACACTGTGGATGTTTGTGCTGTTTGAAATCTTAAAGAACTGCCCCTCTTTGTATTCTTGGAGCAAAGTAGAAAGTGAACCCATGACTAGAGAGATATTATCAGTAGGATATTGTAAACATATTTCAGGGAGATAACACAGGCAGGCAGACAAATAGGCCGAGATCCGGGGGAGGATGGGGTTAATGAGAACTCTGCAGTGAGGCAGATTTTAAAAAAAAACCCAACACTCCACTCCTTCCAAGTCCTTTAGCTCAAGCTGCAGCCAAATATTTGCATAAAGAGCTGGTAACTGATTCCAGCTTCCTGGTTCATGACATTACAGCATGGATCATTTTCAAAACTACCACCACCTCCTGTTTCAGCAGCGGCTGATGGTGCAGCTCTCCAAGTGACTCCGTGTATGGGAGTGAGTATACCCTGTAACCCAAGACAGAGGTGTAGTGGGGAGCTCAGCTTCTCTGCATACAATCTCAGAGCCATTCGGGTCCCTTTAAACTTTAAAGCCACCAACCAACTATAAACATACCACAAAGCACATCTATATTACTCTGTTAATGCAATTCTCAATCCAACTATAAAATGCAGGCTGCATTAATTTTCATAGTTAGAAAGAGCTGTTGTATAAACCCCAAGGATTCAGAGAGAGGAGTGGAAAAAGAAACTTAGATAGAAAATAGTTATGGTTTTTTGTTGTGTTTTGTTTAATTAAACAGAGCACCAAACCCAGAAATAAGGAGTTGAAATCCCCTTAGTAGAATATAGATATTCTACTTACTGATTAGATTTGAAGGAAATATTTTCCATTTTAATTTTTCTATGTTAATAGTCAGATCTTCAGAATTAACAAAGTTAGGGATAGTTTCCTTTGGGAAAAGCAAATTCCTAATGTTAATCCAGATAGTATATGCAGACTTTTGAGGAACATGATTGACTAAGCCATAGACAGATTAAGTAATTGTCTTTATTCATTTTAAGTGAAATCATTTACTAGAAAGCCGCTTAGCTGATTTTGCTCAAACTGTTGAGTTCTATACTATCCCATGCGTTCTATACTGTTCTGTGCATTCATTTGTATAAAAAATAACAGCCATTTAAAATTTAAATTGGGATGTCTGAGTTAGGGGACAAAAATACCCCAAACCGACAATAAAATTAATTTAGATAAAATGCATCTTTGATTGTATGGCATGATTGGTAGTTCTCTTAGAAGAAAGAATATGACTTTACCTCAGAGCAGAAGGAAGCATAGTCCATCTGCAATGTCCTAGCTCCCCCATGATGGGACTGTGGCTTCACTTGGTGTGATGGTTCTCCTCTTACTTTGGCAGCCCTCCGGAAGCAGCACTGTCCACATTGCAGCCTCAGCCGCACCATCTTCTGCAGGTCAGTCCAGCCAGCATTACAGTTCGCTCAAAAGCAATTCCAGAAGTCCATCTCGAAAGCCTGTTCTGTGCTTGATTGAGGTTAAGATCAGCACCACCATTTAATTGGAATCCAACCAATCAGAAGATGAAAAAGGCACAGTGGCTCCAGATGCAAGCCTGGCTAGGAGACGCATGCATGTGTGTCCTCCTGCCTGAACTGTGTCTATTCTGTCCAGAGTTTGTTCCTCACGTTCACTCCAGTTCCCTTTTGCCAGTTGACTAGACCAACAAATTAGAATTGTTTTTAAACACTTATCTTTTTGGTGGATTAGTAGATGGAATACAGAACATCCTGAGGCACCAGAATAATGCCTCTGCTCGTATTCATTAAGTTTCCAGCCGACAGGGGCTTCCCTCCCCTTCCTCCCTCTCATCCCAGAAAGCCGTTCAAACAAGTGTAAGCTTTCTCAGCACATAGGAATAACCAATATATAAACACTCCTACTTGTGTCACTGAAAAGCTGAGAGTTTCAGGAGGTCAGATATAAGGAAACTTGTGTGTGGTAGTGTTCTGTGAGTGTGTCATTTCAACTCACCTTAAAGGAGTCTTAAGACTCAGAAAACTTCAGTGTCCTGTACTGCCTTTGATGGACACACCCTCAACCTATCATTTTACTACATTTATGGGTAATAATCACACACTGGACCTGGTTGTCATAAAATTGGAAAGGCATAATGTTTTCAGAATTACTCTTATTTGGTGTTTCACAGGTTATTGGAACTAAATTACCCTGTAAGCATATTTAGGAAGAAAGCATTGCAGCTTTATGCCACATCAAGTAAATAGTACTCATTTATTCCCTCTGTTCCTAATTTCCATTGTTAAAATTTATATTGTCATTGAGATCATTTGTTTAAAACCCTCTCCTCAAAATTAAATTTATTTCTTAAGTATGAAAAGTGTATGACTAGAGTAACTTTAAATCAAGACAATTACTTCTCATATGTCAGAAGTTTTCATAAAGTCTCACTGTTTTCTTAAAGTCTAAATAATGTCAAAGGGGTTTGTTTATTTAAAGTAAACTATACATCAGGGTTAGATGCTGATGCTTTATAGCCCCGGAAGGTTGAAGCTTTGAACATTTTTGACAAGTAGTTGAATTATTCTTATATCCACTGCTCCCTTCTCCCAGCCATTTTCACAGCCAAGGTAGGGACTTGTGCTGCCAACCCAAAGGCAGACAGCTTGAGTCCACTAGCAGCTCTTAGAGAGAATGACGTGTTGTCTTTTCCCATATGATTTACAGCCTCTGAAAAACCACTGAAGGTCAGCTATGAGTCAGTTCTGACTCAGCAATAAGAGAACCAAATTTATTTCACTAGAACTTGAATTAGCAGAAACAACTACAGATTCTAAATTGCCTATCAACTTGCTCTTCTGGAACCCTTGAGCCAGCCTCCTTTTTCCTGGAGGTAATCTTCAGAATATAGAATAAATTTCCATTACAATCTTTAAGTATAGTTTTTAAACAAAAGTCTCTCTTTGTCACTTCTCCCCTAGGGCTGTATTTTGAGCCTGAACCGATTCCTTCCACACCCAGTTACTTTCAACCCCGAGAATTTTCGAGTTGTTTTTCTTGTGATGAAAACCCAAGCTGCCTCGACCAAATCTTAGATTCCTACCTTCAGATGGAGACACACCCTGAACCTTCCTTCAATTCCTTGCAAAGCACGCCACGCTACTTCCCAGACAGCTTCCAGCCTGCTCCTTTCTGCTTGAACCAGAGCCTGGTAATTCATATCATCTCTTTACAAAACTCAGTTGTTGCCTACTATGAACTAGTAAGGGAAAGGACCTAACATCATCTCTGGAAAAAATCATGTCAATTTTCTCAACAGGAAGTCAACAGAGGAAACTAGCAGAGAGCCAATGGAAGTAGAGATGGCCACACACTGTGGAACTCAATCTTTTAAATACATGGGAATTAGGGTTTCCCAAGGAAGTTAACTCATTGCCGTTGGGTCAGAACTGGCTCTCTGGTGGGTTTTCAGAAGCTGTGAATGACAAAGATTTCCTATCTTTCTACATCCACCATGGAGCAGCTGGTGGATTTGAACTGTCCATCTTTGTCTATCCCTAACTGCTAGGCCAGCAGAACTCCCTTGAGAAGGTCAGTATGTGGCAATAAAAAGAGATTTCCTAGCAATATTGATTTAAGAATTCCTGAACTGTGACATTAAGATACCTATTAATTATAAATTAATTCTCAAAGTGGCCCTTATGAAACCCAGCAAAGGTTGATTGATAGATACTTGAATCTTGAAAACAGAGTGTGTCAGCACCAACCTCTCATTCTGATTAGAAGAATTTGATTCTGTTGTCACTGACTTGGTCCTCTGCCTATTTCTTTTGATCTGCCCTAGACATAAGGATTCTTTTAGGGCTGGAAATGGTTAGTTAAAATTAAGCTGTAATGCTTGAAATAATTTGGATTAATGTCTGTACTTGATGGTCCTCAAATGTTTGAAAATGAGTTATCCTTTAAAATGTAATAAGGTTTCAATTAGTAGATGCTAGCTGTCTCAGGTGGGAATGATTCAGGTGATGGTTTTTTTTCAGTCAGCTGCCACACACTACACATCTGAGAGCTAAACAATGAATAAGGATGCCAGAAGAAGAATCTTTTGAGTTGTGATGCTGGAGAAGAGTACTGAGTATTTTATGGGTTCTTTAAAAACCAAACAGATACATCTGGAGGGAAAATGCAGCCATAGTGCTCCTTGGAGGCAAAGATATGATGAAGCTTCATTTCACCTACCTTGGATATATAGCCAGAAGAGGCTATTCCTTGGAAAGGGACACCATGTTTGAAAAGGTCAGCAAAAGAAAGACCCCGCTTAACAGGATGGGCTGACAGGTGCCTGGAGTGATCAGCTCAAGTGTGTCAGATATGAAGAAGATGACACAGGATCAGGCAGGGTGCAGGTCTGTTGATTATATAGGGCTCTGTGCATTGTAATCAAATCGATGGCACATAACCACAAACAACAAGTTGCCTCAGGGGAGCTCTGATGACCTAGTGTTAAGGAGTTTTTCTGCCAATCTACAGGCACATTTCTAATCCACTAACTGCTCAATGGGAGAAAAAGGGGCAGTCTCCTCCCTTGCAATTTATAGAATTTGAAAACCCTCTGGAGGGTCCATGAGTTGGTTCCAACTCGATGGCACATAACAACAACACATTGCTTCAGGAGGCAGTTCAAATCCACCAGCTGCCCACGGGAGAAAGATGGACAGTCTCCTTCCCTGCAATTTACAGACTTTGAAAAATCTACTGGAGGGCCAGTTGTGGTTTGATTCCAACTCAGTGGCAAAGAGTTGAGTTTGAGTTGAGTTGTCTCAAGTACTTTGTAGAGAGTGACCATATCACTTTTATACCTTAAAAGGTAAGGTTTGAGGGGATTTGGGTTTGTTTTGATTTTTTTTTTTTTAGAAATGGACGTACTTTTGGGTTCTGATTTGTCAGAAATCTGTGTTGATATTCGGAGATAGAAGATAATGCCACACAAGTCATCCATTCTTTTCCAGCCTCCAACTTTGACTTTCCTGGTAGCAATTATCTGTTACCACTGAGTCAATTCTGACTCATGTTGACCATCAGGCTTCCTAGGCTGTAAATCTTAATGGGAGGAGAGGGACTTAGTTTAACCCTCCAGAGTGGCTAATGGGTTATATCAGTTATCAACATGCTTAAGAAAAAGCAAGGATCCTTGGTGACATAGTGGATTTTGTGTTGGACTGCTAACCAGGATGTCAGCAGTTCGAATCCAGCTTGGAGAACTCAGTGGAGGGTTGACAACAGTGGACAGGTGAAAGAAAGGGAAAACAGAAAACAATTTTCTTCTGAGGAAACTTTGGTGGTGATTAAAAGTCTTTGCATCTTAGAGCATCCCGGCCATGGGGCCATGAAGTACGTGGCTTTCTCCCTTCCCATGATCCTCTCACCCTCCACAGTCAGGTTGTGGAGAAACATCCAGTTTAACACCTGCAGCTTACATTGCACCCCACAGCAGGTTTTGATGTGCAGGTGACTTGAAGCACAAAGGGAATTTGTGGTTTAAGAACAAAGCATCCTCTAAAGTATGGTTATAACAAAGGAAGCCAGTGAAGCAAGGTAATTTATTGTTGAGGAAAAAAATAGGTAAATAGAGAAATGGTGTCTTGAAATCATGTAGTCAGCAACTAAAATTACTTCTTCAGACTTGGACTGAAATTCCCAGTGCCTCCTTTTTTTGAGGGGAGCTAATTGTCTTTCACCAAATTAGTAAATCCACACACTATCGAGTTCCTTTGATCCTCAGTAATGAAGTTCTTTGTTCTTTGATTTTTCCTCTCTAGACCCCAGTGTCACCTTCAGATTTCTCTACTCTCTCCGGTTCCTTAGACTACAGCTACTCACCAGCTCAGCTGCCTTTCTATGCTGCAGAGAATTACAGTTCTCCACCACCACTGGACACCAGAAACTGTGACTATCCTTCAGAAGACCTCTCCTGCCACCCCTTGCCCTCACACACCCAGTACAACAGCTTCTCCTCGGCCCCGGCCCCAGCGTGTTACTGCGCGTCCTGCGAGGCCGAGCACTGGGACACTATCCGGGCGGCAGAGTACTTTCCTCCTCCCGGCCATGACTACCTGGATTTTGCTTCTTCGACAGCAGTACCCAGCGATTTCTACAAAAGGGAAGCAAACTGTGACGTCGGCTATAGTTAATCGAGATGATGTGGATTTGGAACGTGATAGACATTGTCACTGCCTCTTTGTGCTACTTCTAAATGATATCTTCCAATATGCATCCCACTTAACGAAGTGTCACAGGTGTGATCAGCATGCCACCATCTTCAATGTTCTGAAACTAATGTCGACAGTAACAGGAAACCCTCCGCCTGGTCCCAGTGTCGCTCCAACTCTGTAGGCTTACATTCAGCGTTTTTATAGGGAACTCCCAGTTGTTATAGCTTTCTCTTTCATGAACAAATCCTTGTATGCTGTGTTTTTTTTAACTAATAAATAATTTTGTATTTCTAAATTTGGCTCTTGTTTCCTTTTACTAGTATTACTTGCTGGTAATGGTTCCCAGTTGGCTTGAGTATTATCCGTTCATTCTGGAAATCATGATTTCTTAATCCAGTGGCTTAATTTTATTTATTCAAGAGTCTGAAATTATATTAATGCCAGGTAGTATCCGCTCCAGAGAACTACAGTGGTACCCATAGGACAGAGGGTTGACAGAGCCCAGAAGGTAGAAAAGACAAAACCTGCCTCTGCTCAAAGGAGAGAGTACATCTTGGATCAACATCAGAGAAACACATTTATAAATAATTACTTTCTCATATCTTACACTAGTTGACGAGGTGTTAGTATGAGCAAAAGGCATGCTTTACCTACAGCACTGTTAAACTATGGATCATTCTGTATCATTTCTAATGGACTGTTTTGTAAACTTGCGAATACTTGATCTCCCTTTTCTGGAGAGGCGCCATTCAGTTGACGTGATGCATCCTGGAGTTTAGAACTCACTGCTACCTTTCTGACTTTTCACTTTGGGCTGATAAATATGAATCAGCCATGTTTGCAGATTGGTTCATGGAGTTAACCCTGTTGCTTTCAAATAAATTTCAGAGTTTACTTCCCCTGAGTAGTCTATTTGAACTGCCTTTCTAGGGGAAGAACAGCTCCTTAAAGAGCCTGTGCTAGACTCCAGGGAGCTCTGGAGGCGTGGTCTCCTCGGAGTTACACTGCTAACCCAAGTGTGGTGCCTCACTAGTGGTTTCAGTCCACCAGTGGCTCCAAAGAAGAAAATGGACAGTTCCCTTCTGTGTGATTTACAGCCTCAGAAACCCAATGGAAGACCTCAATGGCAATGGGTCAAGTGGTATTGGAGTCTACTGTTGCAAGTAAAATGGAGCTTAGACAACCAGTTATTTTATTTTAATCTGCAACCCTCAAACCTGTTTTTCATTGTTGTTTAAATTTTCTTCTAGGTCATATAGCCCTGGTGTGTCCACTTGCCGTACAGGGGTAACTCGTGGTTGCTGTGAAGCTGAACACTGTGACACTGATGTGTCAAATACAAGAACGGTTACCCATGGCAGATAGTGTTTGGTGGAGTTCCCTGGTTGAAACAAGAAGCAGGAGTGGCATCCACTTCTGTAATAGCTTGCCTCTGGAAATCCTATGAACCTGGAGAAAGGATAAACAAGTGTTGAAGACTTTTGTTCATATGGTCGCTATGAGTCAAAGACACTCAATAACAATAAGTATATAAAATACAAGACTTAATCTCAAAAGGGAATTTTTTCATGCCCCATGGTTCAGCAACAATGGCAGCAATTCTGGTTCCCTTACCAGTGGTGACCATCTTCTGTGCTTTCTTTTTTGTGCAAGAATTGTGCTAAGGTATCTCATTTAAGCGATCTCATTTAATCATCACAATACTATTGGTAGCAAATGAGGAGCTGAAGGCTCAGAGTCGTTCAGGAACGTATCTGCTGCCATACAACCAAGAAGCATCAGGGCAGAACACTGTTTATTGCCAACTCTAGTGGTGGAAAAACTTGAGCCATTGTGGTGTCCTGGGTTTACTGTCCTAAGTGAGTTTCCTAAGCCATTGCCTTTGACTTTCACCACATAACTGGGCAGGAAATGCAAATAGAGTGTGTATTATAACCATAAAGGGATAGGATAGTTTTAAATTGAGCAGGTTTAATGACAAATTGGGAATCTCATTCTCAGCAAGGAAGAAATAAAGAATGCAGTGTTCATCCTTTGGGGACAGAGATTCCTGTCCTGGTCCCACAGGGCAGCAGCAGCGGCCACAGGAGAACCGGAGACCTGCATGAGACAGAACTGATGCAGAGCTGTTGCCCCAGGGAGCAAAAGCTCAGGTTTTTTCCCAAGATGATGGAGAACTGAGAGAAGGGGCAGGGAGATGCCATAATTGGCAGGGTAGCTTTGTTGGCCTAGTGGCAATCCTGAAGGCACAATGTTCAAGGCCACTAGCTGCTCTGCAGGAGAAGGCTGGGCAATCTCTTCCTGTGTGATTAACTGCCTCTGAAAACCCGTTGGAGGGTCTGCTATGGGTTGGTTCCAGCACACAACAACAATAACAAGAGTGACAGGGTGACTGCCACAATGGGCTCTAGAGTTTCAGGAGGTGTGAGAATGGCACAGAATAGGACAGAGTTCAGATCTGTTGTTCATAGGGTTGATGTGAGTCATACTTGAGACTCGACAGCACCTAACAACAACAACAAGAGAACACTCTAACACTGACCTAATCTAGAAGGTTTAAGGTCAAAGTGTCTGCAAGCCATGTGAGACGCTTTCCTGACTAAAGAATTGCATCCTGTTTCCAACATGAGTTGTAATTTGTTAACATCCTACATAAACTCCATTGCCATAACTCTGAGTATGGTTCTGTGAGATCTGCATAGCCATTGCAACAAAATGTGGAACCAGAAGTAAGGCAGTGAAGGACCTGGGAGGGACAGTTTGTGTTAGTGTGGTAGCCCGCAGCATGCAGGAGCAATGATTTTGTAAATTACTACCTAACTTAGGAGGGACTGAAGAGCATTATGCTAAGTGAACTAACTCAGTCCCATAAAGACAGCTACTGTATAAAACCATTACTATAGAACATGTATGAGGATCCAAGGGGTAGAATGGGAACAGCAGAAGTGTGAGGCTGGATGGAGGTGGGGTGGGGTGAGGTGAAGGAGCTTAATCATAGGGTCACACAATTTGGTGGGTGGGTAAAAAAAATGGGAAAGATTCAGTGTGAAAAACAATGTATATGAACTTTGTAAGTACGCCAGCATAAAATAAAAATTTTATTTAACAATAAGAGTGTGGTAGACATGTCTAACTTCATGGAAATCAGTTTTACACTATGAATATTGCTGATAGGGACAGTCTCAACTGTGGAGTTAGTAGAGGTCAAAAATCACAATCCCAAGCTACCTCCACAATTTGTGGCTGGTGAACCATCAGACCCCAATACCTGAATGCATACAATAGTGTGTCACCATCACAACTAAGACCTCCTCCCAAAATCAGCCTGCCTGCAGCAAACATGCCCAGGGTAAGAGCATCCAGAGCCCCACTTGAGGAAACCAAGGGGAAGAAGCTGCCACCTCGGTGTAGTGCACTTCGTCCTGCCAGGAGATGCATATGCTTTCAAAATGACACCATCTGATTTTACTCTCCCCAGGGCTTCAGTGAAGGTTTGGGCAAACAAGACAAGTTGCAGCCTGCCTCAGAAAGGGCTGTGCCAGGAAAACAAAACAATGGCTGCCTTTCTGAAATGCCAATAAAACGAAATTTTTAATAGCTTCCAACTCAATTGAAACTGGCCTCTTGTCAACAAATGTCTATTCACACATGAACCAAAACTCCCACGTGACCTCTGCTCCCCCTGAGCAGCTGTCCCCAGAGGACAAAGCAGAGAACCCAAGATGTCCAGCGGTTATACCAAAACACCCTTTCCTTTGATGCCAAACTTTTACTTCTGCCTTTGGTGGTCTTATCTTGTACTTACAAAACGTCTGCATCAGTTATAAATCTCAGAGAGTATTTTTCTATCCTTTTGTTTCTAGTCTTTTCTTCACGTACCTTTGAGTTCTTGCCTAAATCTGATAGTTAAACAATTCATAAAGGAATGTGAGAGGAGGGTAAATATGCACTACATTGTCTAATTGTACGTTAAAGCCATCCCAGAAATCTGAACTGGCAGATCACCTGGCACATTACTGAGTGAGTAGAACCTGCTCACCCCATCTCTTAGCTCTCACAGCTCACATGCAATGTTCTGTTGTAAACAAGTGAACAAAACTCCATTACCTTCAGATCTGTTCTAATGGGTGGCAACCCTCCACTGGGCTACTGAACCTTAAGTCTAAATTTACAGGAACAGATTTTCTCATCTTTCTCTGGTGGAATAGCCCTTGGGTTCTAATTGCTGACCTTTCAATTAGAAACTCAATTTATTCAATTTAGCCGCAGGTAAAAAGCATCAACCTGTAGCACTAAGGTGATCTTATTTTTTTCTTTTTTCCAGAGACAATTTAGGTTTCCTCAAAACTGGAGTAAAATGCAGATGCTTATACTTTAGTGTGAGATTGTGTGATTGAGTAAATTGGTAGGATCCAGCCATGCCATGTTTTAAATCTGGAGACCTTCTGGCTACACTGGAAAAGCAACACTAAGTTTGAGTCTGAATTGCCCACTTACAGGAGATAATCAATTAATATCTTCTGGCAACTCCATGTGTATGAGAGTTGATCTGAACTCCATAGGGCTCTCAACGGCTGATTATTTGGAATTAGACTGCTGGGCCTTTCTTGCAAGGATTCTCTGGGTAGATTCAAATGATAAACCTTTCAGTTAGCATCCTAGCCCCTTAAATATTTGCACCACCTAGAGGGTCCTTGGAGGAGCTAGCTTAAAGGAGTATTAATAAATAACACGGACTAAGGCCGTCATATGGACCAGTGCTGTGGGCACTATCTCATGCAATCCCCCAACAACTACATATGATAAATGTTGTTCTCCTTTTTACAAATGATGAAACTGAGACTTCAAATTGAAATTATCAAGTGATAACTGATACAGTTATCTTTCACTACCCCAGTATACTTCCCAAGTATTCTTTCTAGAACTCAAACTCATTGCTGTTGAGTTGGAACTGATTCATAGTTGAACCTCTAGCAGGT